TCTGCTCCGGTAGCCCCCACTTGTACAATGCCGTCCTCACGCGGAGCCCTGGGTGGGTGTTTCTCCCTTAGGGCTTGAGCTGTTGCGGCATCTCTGTCGGCAATTGAGTCCTCACTGGTGATGACTCGTATTGCGCCAATAGTGTTTCCTTACGGGCGGTGTGGGCTGTTGATTGGTGTTCTCCCTGGGAGGGCGCTCAGAACCCAAACACCTGACTCCGTTGTTGGAATGAATGCGCACATTATCGTCCCTCAACCGGATATAGCATACCCTGTCACACGTCTGACATCTACCGTGTCTATCCCTGCTTGATGGCTCATCTTGGCTTGGAGAAGCCTGGCTATCTGTCGAGAGCTGCGACATAGGCGGGCGCTGGGCGGGCGCTGGGCGGGCGCTGGGCGGGAGGGTGGACGGTGGGCGGCGGTTGGAGGCTGGGGGGATGATCAGCTGGCCGTGGCACCTACTACTCAGATAAGTGGTAATACATATACCACCTCTATACAAAGTGTGGGTATACACCCACTACACAATATGTAGGTATACATGGGTGGGTGGGTGGCGTAGACACACATGGGAGCCTCCCGGCTTCTATGGGCGGGTGGCAAGGTGGCCTCGTGGGTGGGGAGGCGACGTGGTGGGGTGGGTAGGAGGGGGAAGAGCAGGTACTTCCCGGCCTGGGCGCTGGGTGGGGGCGGGGGTCAGCGCGACACTAACACTGGTATAATTTCCCCGTATATCACTGCACAATAATGAATGAATCACACACTTGTAATCTGACTCACTGCACGTGTGATGTACTCACAATATGATAGATATGTTGCGCCAATTATCGCTGACAACGTAACTTGTTCAACAAAACTTTCAAAAAAAGAAAAACACAAAACACTATTTGGCACACGCGTAACCCCCACCTCTCTCTCCTGACCACACAACACCCCTCACTCACCCCCCACCTCCCCCTCACTATGGGAGGCCTGCAGGGTCCATCCTGGCCCCTCACTCCAGCCTCCAAGACTCCACACTGCCAACCCACCTGTTTTGATAAGTTTTGATAAGTTTTCACATAGATGGTACACCGTAGGCACTTCCGGCCACTCCCACGTCTGCTTGGTGTATTCACGGTGAATATGGTTGAGTCTATATATATATATATATATATATATATATATATATATATATATATATATATATATATATATATATATATATATATATATATATATATATATATATATATATATATATATATATATATATATATATATATATATATATATATATATATATATATATATATATATATATATATATATATATATATATATATATATATATATATATATATATATATATATATATATATATATATATATATATATATATATATATATATATATATATATATATATATATATATATATATATATATATATATATATATATATATATATATATATATATATATATATATATATATATATATATATATATATATATATATATATATATATATATATATATATATATATATATATATATATATATATATATATATATATATATATATATATATATATATATATATATATATATATATATATATATATATATATATATATATATATATATATATATATATATATATATATATATACAAATAGACGGAGTAGCAATGGGCTCCCCCTTAGGAGTTTTATTTGCTAATTTTTATATGGGAACCATTGAAGATAGGGTCTTCAGTAGCAGACAAAAACCAACTGTATACTGCCGTTATGTAGATGACATATTCGTAATAGTAAAAGACTCAGATGAACTAATTGACCTAAAAAGACACCTAGAGAGAGAGTCAATACTCCGATTTACACATGAAAATAGTGAAAATAACAGTCTGCCATTCTTGGATGTACTAATAACAAAAACAGGAACCTCTTTAAGCACCAACGTATATACCAAGCCCACCAACATAGGATTATGCCTGAACGGTAGAAGTGAGTGCCCCCAAAGATACAAAGCCAGTGTTCTCAATGCTTATATTCGTCGAGCGCTTACCCACTGCTCTGAATGGAGCAACGTGAGTAGAGAGTTTGAAAGAGTAACTCAGGTATTGGTGAACAACGGATATAGCAACGCGGAAATAAACGCTGCTATAAGAAGACACTTGGACCGTTGGTATAATTCAGAACCTAGAACAGAAACCACAACACCCCCAATAAAATTATATTACAAATCAACCATGCACAGTGAACATATAAAAGAGGAAAGAATAATGAAAGAAATAATCCGTAAAGGAGTAAAAAGCACTACTCCTAACCAAAACATAAACCTGATAATATTCTACAAAACCAAGAAGACTTCCGAACTCCTTATCAAAAACAGCCCGAAGCCGACGGAGAACCCTCTGCAGCAGTCAAACGTTGTATACATGTACACTTGCCCCCACGAAGGATGTAACCTTCAATGTAAGTACATAGGTATGACGTCGACCAAGCTGACGAGGCGTTTGACATGCCATCTTCAATCTGGTGCCCCTAGGAATCACATGAGACAAGCCCATGACATTACTCTAACAAGAGAAATGTTGAACAAGAATACTTGCATAATAGACAAAACCCAAGATTCAAGAAGATTACAAATTCTTGAGGCAATTCACATAAGAATAGAGCGACCTACCATGAACACCCAAATCACGGAACTATTTACTCTACCCACCATGAGAGTAAGGACAAGACAAGAACATATCGATGCCAACACAGAAGACAATGTCCAACATAACAGGCCAATTACACTGGATTAATCTTTGTGTTTAGATAGGAGATGCCTCGTATGGGCCAATAAGCCTTCTGCAGCCCCTATGTTTATCCCTTATGTATCCCCCCATGTTTTCACCTTCATTGTATTATCACCTGACCTAATGCGGGTATAAAATCAACTAGTATTGTAAGATCTGTTCACTTGAGAATGAACCAAGGAGGTTCGAAACGTCGTGCAAATTATGCTAAGAAAATAGTTAGAGGGATAGAAGCCCTAAACCAGAAAATAATAAATACAGAATATGCGGTCATATTCAAAGAAAATATATATATATATATATATATATATATATATATATATATATATATATATATATATATATATATATATATATATATATATATATATATATATATATACATATATATATATATAAATGGAAAGACTATGTAAATTAGCTTACATAATAACTGCCATAGGATGTTAGAGGCTCGTGGTATTGGGGTGCCATATTAAGTTGGTTTAGGGCATGGCTATACCAAAGGAAACAGAGTTAGTATAAATGGGGTTAAGTCAGAGTGGCAAAATGTTGTAAGTCCCTCAAGGCTCGGCTCGGACCTCTTGCTCATATATATATATATATATTTATATATCATAAATTTTATATATATCATATATTTATATTTATAATATATATAAATGATTTAGATTCAGGTTTGAGTAGCAATATTTGCAAATTTGCCGATGATACAAAAATCGGTAGGGAAATTAACATGGAAATTAACACACTCACTATCACTTCAAGTTGATCTAAATAGGGTTTTGAAATGGTATAAAGATTGGCAGATGCAGTTTAAAACTGATAAATGTAAAGTTCTGATGGTAGGTAATGATGATGACCAGACCACACACTAGAATGTGAAGGGACAACGACGTTTCGGTCCGTCCTGGACCATTCTCAAGTCGATTGTGATGAGGAAGTAGAGACAGGCAATAAATAGGCACGAGAGATGAGGAGCAAAGTAAGGTGTAGTAGAAGGGCTAGTAGTAGGAACTGCAGAGGGCCTATTGGCCCATACGAGGCAGTTCCTATTATAACCACCGAGAGAGAAGGAGAAAATAATGAGAAGAGGAAAACGAGGGAACGTAGAAGACAATGAACAGAAAAAAGAGAGAAAAGAGAAAGAAAGGAAAGAGAACGAAAGGTAAATGGAAAGGGTAAGCTTATGTAAGGTCACGTTTGTTAGAAAGATTAGAGCATTTGAGTATATACTGTGAAAGGGAAGAGTCCACAGCAACAAAGCCAGGACTCAAGTTCATGTTGGATACATTGTGTATTAGAGCCGATTCAGCAAGACGGCGTCTGTGTAGAGTAGAGGCAGGAAAGATTATTTTGGAGGAAGACCAATCAATGTGATGATAAGAATCCCTCACATGGCAGAAGAGAGCATTGTTAGTGTCTGCAGACTTAACATTTCTCTTGTGTTCTTTAAGTCTGTCATTCAGTGTACGGCCAGTTTCACCAAAGTATTGGAGAGGACAAGACGAACAGGAAATAGAGTAGACACCAGCAGCATTAGAAGCAGGAGGAGCAGTGTGAACTAGATTGCTACGAAGTATGTTAGTTTGACGAAAGGTGAGCTGAATGTCAAAAGGACGAAAGGTATTGGTAAAAGTTTTGAGTTCAGATATGAAGGGAAGTCCTAGTACAATGCTACTAGTGTTGGAAGCAGGTTTAGGATGAAAGAAATTTCGTTTAGCTTGAGAGTAGGCACAGTTGATGAAATGCAAAGGGTAACCAAGGCGAGAGAATGATTTGTAGATAAGGGCAATTTGGTAATGATGATAGTTACAAGATACGAGCTAGATGGTGTTGAAATGGGAAAGTCGGATTGCGAAAGGGATCTGGGAGTTATGACTAGTAAGAATTTAAAACCAAATGATCAATGCATGAATGTTCGCAATAAGGCAAATAGGACACTGGGATTTATTAATCGAAGCGTTAGTAACAAGACACCTGGTGTTATTTTCCAACTATATCCTGCTATGGTTAGACCCCATTTAGAATTTGCAGTTCAGTTTTGGTCGCCGTACTATAGAATGGATATAAATTCACTTGAACGTGTCCAGTATAGGATGACAAAGCTAATTCCCTAAATTAGAAACCTGTCATATGAAGAGAGATTAACAAAGCTTAATGTTGCTGTAATATTATTATAGCAACAACGGAAGGTGTAGTGAAGGAACTGATGAATCTCGTTAAAGCTCTGAGGACAGATTTGGATTCCCTACGGGAGGAAGTACGAAAGCTGAAACATCAGGAAGAAACAAAGGAGGCGACAGGTATTAAAAAGACCTTGTCTTGTCAAGTTGTAAAACACAGCGGGCTTAAGAAGTGTTTGACAAAGCCGCCTAATGATATCCAAAAGACGTCTAACGCATTTGCTGTGTTGGAGGACGAGTGCTGTGGTGAGCCTGCAGTTCAACGAGGAGGCAAAGGCAAAGCAACGAGGAGCAACGACGCGCAGGTCGCTCAAAGTGCTCAAAAGGTAAAAGGAGGACCCAAGGGAATTTTTGTTGCGGGAGATCACCAGGTGAGGTATTTAGACAGAACGTTTTGTGCCAGAGATAGGGAGAACAGGTTAAGAGTTTGCTAACCTGGAGCTGGAATTGGAGATATTGTTGGCAACATGAATGATAGTATGGCTGCTTATAAAAATAAACCAATTATTGGTAATAGTGCAGGTGGAAATGATGTTAGGCGAGTTAGGAGTGAGGAACTAATACTGAGATTTAAGACAGCCATAGAACTAGTTAGAAGCAAGGGAGGAATCCCGATCATATGTGGCATTCTTCAAAGAAAGGAAGTTGGAAATGAATGGTCGTCGAGGGCACTTGGGGTCCCTCAATTTTTTCAATCGTGGGTTGGACATGTATATGAGTGGGATTGAGTGGTTATAAATAAGGTCTGAATCGTACGGGCGAATAGGCCTTCGGCAGTTACCTTTGTTCTTATGTTCTTATCTGGGAGTTTTGATTAGTAAAAATATCCGGCTGGAAAGATATTGAAAATGAAATGCAAAATCTTAAATAGACAACTGGGAACACTTCTATGGAAGAAACGAAATGTATGCTCGGGATGGGGTGCATCTATCGAGGGCTGGGGTGGTTGTTGTTGTTGTTGCGATCTTGTTGGAACCAGTGGTTGGAGGCGTTTGTTTGGGTTTGGGTTTAAACTGTTAGTAGATAGTGGTATGGGAATTGAAATGGAGGAAAGAGGTAATAAAAGTAAGTGTTTGTGGGAGAAACAAATTGGCAAAATGATTAGGGAAAGAGAAGGACCTCAAAATAACAATACACTTAGGGTATATTACACTAACAGTAGATGATTAAGAAATAAAATAAATGATTTAAATGCTCTTGTCTGCACAGAAAAAATATATATTATTACACTAACCGAAACGTGGATGATTGTAGAAAATAGAGAACTATTAGCTGAATATCAAATAAATGGATTTAAAGTAGTACACACAGATAGATATATTAGATGGGGAGGGGGAGTAGCTATATATTTTAGGGAAAATTTGAAATGTAATATCAAAGAGGGAATTAAAACTAAGCCACAAACAGAACTATTTCGATAGGATTAAACGAAAAAGCAAATAATCTTATAATAGGAGTTATATATAGGCCACCAAACTTAGACAGAACGAAAGCAAAGCAAATATGGGGCGAAATATCTAGAGCATCTAGGACTAGCAGTATTTGTCATAGGTGATTTTAATTTTAGTGGAATAAATTGGTTTAACAGAACAGGGAATAATGAAGTAGAAGATTTTCAAGAATTAATTGAATATTGCTTTCTTACGCAACACATTAAGGAACAAACGCGGGTAAATAATATTTTAGATTTAGTGTTAACTAACAGGGAAACGCAAATTAATGCCATCGAAATAGGGAGTGAGCTAGGGAACAGTGATCATAAAGAAATCAGAATCAACATTGAATGGAACAGATCTGTAGGAGGAAAATTCTGTTTAAGTGCCTTATTTTCGAAAAGATTATTTCAATAGCCTAAGAAATGTTTTGGGTCAAATAGATTGGAAAGTCTTGGGCATGGGGGCGGGCCGGTCTTGGAGCGAGACGTGAACCCAGCGATAGGAGACGTAAATTTCGATGTGGATTCAAAATATAACTTATTTAAAATGTATTCTAAGCAAAGCACAGGAAGGTAGTATAACTTATAAATTGATTAGATCGAATACTAACTACATCTGGCAATCTTTTGACCATTTCAAACCCCTATTTAGATCGACATGAAGTGATAGTGAGTCTTCTTCCACGTTTATTTCTCTACCGTTTTGTATCATCGGCAAATTTGTAAATGTTGCTACTCAAACCTGATTCTAAATCATTTATATATATTATAAGCAACAGAGGTCCCAGGACAAAGCCTTGATGCATTCCACTTAAAACATTTTCCCATTCAGACGTAACCTCATATATATTAACTCTATGTTTCCTTTGGTATAGCCATGCCCTAATCCAACTTAATATAGCACCCCAATACCATGAGCCTCTATCTTTTTAATCAGTCTTTCATGTGGCACTGTATCAAAGCTTTGCTAAAGTCAAGGTACACAACATCGCAATCCTTACCACTATCTATTGCCTCAACTATATAGTTGAGGCTATAGATAGTTGCCTCAACTATATATGTATATATATAGTTGAGTATATGTATATATATGTCGTACCTAGTAGCCAGAACACGCTTCTCGGCCTACAATGCAAGGCCTGATTTGCCTAATAGGCCGAGAGATTTTCTTTATTTTCAATAAATTGTTTCCAATTAGCTTATTTGAATGATTATTATTATATTATATTAAGAACGTATTTTATTGACTTAATTGTGTTAGTTTAGGTTAGGTTAAGATTGGTTAGGTTAGGTAGGGTTGGTTAGGTTCGGTCATATATCTACGTTAGTTTTAACTCAAATTTAAAAAAAATTAACTCAAAATGGAATGGATAGCTTTACTATTTCATAAGAAAAGAAATATTGAAAAATATATTCAGGAAAACTTGGCTTATTAGGCAAATCGGGCCTTGCATAATAGGTCGAGTACGACGTTCTGGCTACTAGGTGCAACATTATACACACATATATATACATATGCGAACAAGCCTGAATGGTCCCCAGGACTATATGCAACTGAAAACTCACACCACAGAAGTGACTCGAACCCATACTGCCAGGAGCACTCTGCTGGCGTACATGATCCCTTAACCGCTCGACCAACATGACCGGACAAAGAGGATGGTAGCCGAGGCTATTTCCATCCCCCGCAGGCATTCGGTTGGTAATCTTGGGCATGGTATTTTATCAAATCACCTCATTCTTTGGGGCACACGTGAGGAACACAAATGCGAACAAGCCTGAACGGTCTCCAGGCATGTATGCCATTGAAAACTCACACTGCAGAAGTGACTCGAACCCATACTGCCAGGAGCACTCTGCATTCTGACGTACAGGAAGCCTTAACCATTGGACCAACACCACCAGACAAAAGAGGATGGTTGCCGAGGCTATTTCCATCCCCCCGCCGGCACTCGGTTGGTAATCTTAGGCATGGTATTTTATCAAATCACCTCATTCTTTGAGGCACACTGCCGCCCCTGGCACCACCACCAAATTGCCACCCCTTGCACCACCACCACTACACTGCTACCCCTGGCACCACACCCACACTGCCACCCCTGGCACCTCCACCACCACACTGCCACCCCTAGAACCACCATCGCCACACTGCCACCCCTAGCACTACCACCACTGCAGCCCCTGGAACAACCACCACACTGCCACCCCTGGCACCACCAACACACTGCCACCCCTGGCACCACCACCACACTGCCACCCCTGGCACCACCCCACTGCCACCCCTGGCACCACCACCACACTGCCACCCCTGGCACCACCACCACACTGCCACCCCTGGCACCACCACCACACTGCCACCCCTGGCACCACCACCACACTGCCACCCCTGGCACCACCACCACCACACTGCCACCCCTGGCACCACCACCACACTGCCACCCCTGGCACCACCACCACCACTGCCACCCATGGCACCACCACCACACTGCCACCCCTGGCACAACCACCACACTGCCACCCCTGGCACCACCACCACCACTGCCACTGCCACCCCTGGCACCACCACCACACTGCCACCCCTGGCACCACCACCACCACACTGCCACCCCTGCCACCCCTGGCACCACCACCACACTGCCACCCCTGGCACCACCACCACCACTGCCACCCCTGGCACCACCACCACACTGCCACCCCTGGCACCACACCACCACCACACTGCCACCCCTGGCACCACCACCACACTGCCACCCCTGGCACCACCACCACACTGCCACCCCTGGCACCACCACCACACTGCCACCCCTGGCACCACCACCACCACACTGCCACCCCTGGCACCACCCACCACACTGCCACCCCTGGCACCACCACCACCACTGCCACCCCTGGCACCACCACCACACTGCCACCCCTGGCACCACCACCACACTGCCACCCCTGGCACCACCACCACCCCTGGCACTGCCACCCCTGGCACCACCACCACACTGCCACCCCTGGCACCACCACCACACTGCCACCCCTGGCACCACCACCACCACTGCCACCCCTGGCACCACCACCACCACTGCCACCCCTGGCACCACCACCACCACACCCCTGGCACCACCCCACACTGCCACCCCTGGCACCACCACCACCACACTGCCACCCCTGGCACCACCACCACCACTGCCACCCCTGGCACCACCACCACCACTGCCACCCCTGGCACCACCACCACCACCACCACCACACTGCCACCCCTGGCACCACCACCACCACTGCCACCCCTGGCACCACCACCACCACTGCCACCCCTGGCACCACCACCACCACTGCCACCCCTGGCACCACCACCACACTGCCACCCCTGGCACACCACCACTGCCACCCTGGCACCACCACCACCACCACCCCTGGCACCACCCACCCCACCCCTGGCACCACCACCACACTGCCACCCCTGGCACCACCACCACCACACTGCCACCCCTGGCACCACCACCACCACACTGCCACCCCTGGCACCACCACCACCACACTGCCACCCCAGGCACCACCACCACACTGCCACCCCTGGCACCACACTGCCACCACCACCACCACCCACTGCCACCACCACTGGCACCACCACCACCACACTGCCACCCCTGCCACCACCTGCCACCCCTGCACCACCACCACACTGCCACCCCTGGCACCACCACCACACTGCCACCCCTGGCACCCACCCCTGGCACCACCACCACACTGCCACCCCTGCCTCTACCACCACCACACTGCCACCCATGGCACCACCACCACACTGCCACCCCTGGCACCACCA